ACACACAAACACACAAATACACACACACACACAAACACACACAGACACAAACACACACAAACACACACAAACACACACACACACACACCAACACACACCAACACACACACACACACAAACACACACAAACACACACAAACAGACACAAACACACACACACACACACACACACACACACACACAAACACACACACACACACACAACCACTACCACCCCGACCCCTAGAAGTTGCAAAAAGTAGCAACTTTACCTCGCGTTCGTGCGCTCGACCATGCCAATCCACGCAAAGGGTTGCGCGTGACGCCTATAAAAGTTGCAGCTTTACCTCGGGTTCGTGCGCTCGACCACGCCAATCCACGCAAAGGGTTGCGCGACACGCGTAGAAGTTGCAAAAAGTAGCATGCAACTTTACCTCGCGTTCGCGCGCTCGACCACGCCAATCCATGCAAATGGTTGCGCGTCATGCCTAAAAGTTGCAACTTTACCTCGCGTTCGTGCGCTCGACCACGCCGCTCCACGCAAAGGGTTGCAATCCCGATCGATGGCATCGGCGCCGCCCCGGCTTTAAAAAGAAAGATAGATATACCGAGGTGTAGATGTAGATGAGTCGGGTACTCGATGTGCTTCACTCTGTGTACAAGGCTCGATGTACTATGTACTTCACTCTGTGTACTATGTACTTGACTCGATGTACTATGTACTTCACTCTGTGTACTACGATGCACTCTGTGTACTATTTACATGACTCGATGTACTATGTACTTCACTCTGTGTACTACGATGTCCTTAACTCTGTGTACTTGGCTCGATGTACTATGTACTTCACTCCGTGTACTATGTCCTCGCCTCGATGTACTTACCTCTGTGTACTTGGCTCTACGATGTACTTGACTCTGTGTATGTACTTTACTCTGTCCTTGCCTCGATGTACTTCACTCTCTTGGCCCGACGATGTACTTGACTCTGTGTTCTATGCTTGCATAGTCCTCTGTGTACTTGATCCTAATGTACTTGTCTCCAGGGCTTCGCACGGAAGAACCCTTCGCGATGCTTTCGGGAAAACTCCTGTGGGAGTTCTTCAATTATCGGGTCGTGCCGCTGTGGGAGCTATGCAGCGCTGACGCCCGAACCTACTGTGGCCCTCTATGCTCATCAATCAGCTTCGCAGCGCGCTGGACGTACTGGCTCATGGTTGGAATATAGTTGGGGTTCCTGCTGCTACCAGAACTAACACGAAACTCAAGATTAATATTAAAACAAATATTCCTGCGAATACGAATCATCATGTTAATTAACATTACAGAAAGGGCTACTACTGTCATTAATACTAATGCCAATATTTCTACCAATGCCAACGTTAATACAATAAGTATTCATATTCCTACGAATACTAATGCGCATACTCTCATGGCTGTCAGTGACATACTCTTACCAATACTATTACTGATATTGACAAGTTTTTGAATACGAACATTAACACTTACATTAAGGCTAAAAGGAATATGACAACACGAATACTATAATTCGAAAAGGGAGAAGCTTCCAGCTTCTGCAAATGAAAGCTATGCAACGAACGATCACAGCTCCATGGCAGGCAAGGCTCTCTCAGCGAACTGGTTTTCCACGGCTCACATACATCTGTGTGCTTCAGCTCTCAGCGAACATGCTAATATTCGTACTGATTGAGCTTACTATCATGCACTTACAGGCCTGCTATGACAAAAGACATCTCTTGTGTCGGCCCAAGGCAGACTCTTCGCAGCCACGCCTGAGCCATAACCGAGAGGCCGTCAAAACCATCGGGCCATGTTCACATGTTTTGATCAAAGGGATCTGTTGCCATGAGCACACTGAGACCCCGAGTTTCCTCAATAATGTTAATGTTAACACTCTTATGAATACCAGTAATCATATTCATATTGATAGTAATACGTACAGTATGGTAATATACTAGTATATCAATGTATGAATAAACAAAATATGCTAATATACCAATATACGAATGCTATGCAAGATACTAGTATATCAATATATTACTAACGTATTACTATACCAGCATATTGATATACTTATAAGTTATCAGGTTACTACACGAATATAGTCGTGTACACATATCCTCGTATATTAAGATATTATTATATTAATATACGATTATACTAATATACCAGTTTACCATTATACTGAGGTACTAATGCACCAATGTACTAATATATTAATATACCAGTTCACATACTAGTATATAAGTACACAAACATACTACTATACTAACATATTAATATATTGATTTATTGCGCGAGCCTATTTGTATAGTAATATGAACATTAGCTCTACTATCAATGCTAGTACGAGTGCTTCTGCGAATATTAAAACTTGATATAAAAAACGGCATGAAAACGGATACTAATACTAATATTAGTATTTATACTAACACTGACATTGGCACCAACACTAACACGAATACTAACATTAATCTAGACTTACTACTATTGATATTAATACTTATCCTGATTAGTAATCACTGATGCTAATACGACTGTTAACCTAATTTTCTAATATCAATACTACCACAAAACTACTAACTAATGCACGAATATTAACACGAATGATAGCTTTAAGACCACTACAAACAATTACAATGGCGCTAAGATCAAAAGTAAGTTGCAAACATGTTTACAAACTCCAAAAAATCCAAAACTTTCAATAATTCCAAAAAACTCCTCACCGTAGTTGTTTCCAAACATTCAAGATTTCAAGAAAATCCACATTTCCAAAGTTCTCCCCGCTATGTTCAGGACCGACTCTGCCAGATAAGGCATAGATTTTGGAAATTCTGGAAAGTTAGGGGAAAGGATTTTGGAGTTTTTGGACATTTTGGAAATATTGAAGATCAGATTAGGGGGAGAAATTTTGGAATTGAAATTGGGAGAGGTCATTGTCGCCCATCCGTTGACAGATCATGCCTGGGGACCGGCATGACAGGGCATGGTCTGTCAAGGGGGGGTGAATATATGAATATATATATATATATATCTCTGTCTGTCTGTCTCTCTCTCTCTCTCTCTCCCTCTCTCTCTCTCTCTACGACGACGGTTGCTATTGTTTCTCTTCTACTGCGGCAACGAATCCATAATGAAAACGAAACAGCATGGCACATGTCGGCAAGCCTCGCGGTGTCATGCAGTATGAATATACTGTGCTTAAGGGTCTCGATGCACAGGCCTTTGTCGAGCTGAGACGATTGGTCCGCAGTCAGCAGAAGGCCGGTGATAATTGCCATGTACAGTTAACAGACTCGGCAACAAGAAGCAGAGATTTCTAATCAACAGAGTTTGGGGCAAGCAGGGGCTTCTGGATTCATGTTCTGACTTGCATAGTGCGGGCTTTTAGCAGGAATCAGTAGCGACGACGCAGCATCTACACCTCCAGCACCACGAGCCACCACAAGCTCCAGATTGTAAAACGCAGGGCGGCAGGAGCAAAGGCTAGTGTATGCGTAATATGGCCGGCAGGCAGTGCTGGATGTCTTCACTGCACGGGCCTCAGAACCTCCTGTTCGGAAGACAACAAAGGCAAGGAGGCAAGGGGTCTCGCGACATGGCGGATAGTTGTGCCTGGATCCCGAAACACGTTACTCGTGGCATCCAGTGCAGGCACTTGCCTCGGGAAAGTGGCCTGAGGAGCGGCGAGTCTATTACACCTAAAGACGGAGGTGCTTAGGCTTTGGGGTGTAGGTTCGCGCGGAAGGCCGAAGATGGTTCAATGTTTACTTACGTAGCCTTAACAAATTCTCATGTGCTGGAATAGCTTACGGTGACGTTCTTAAAAGTCGGTGGCCCAGTGCTTGCGCGATTCTCTATACAGACCTGGAAGAACAGGAGCACTGCGTGAAGTTGAATGACACGGGCTACCAGCGCCTCAAGCGTGCATCGGGCATCTGGGCAAAATGCTAGGGCCTAGGGCAGGGGGTGATCACGGTGCACAGCATTCCGGTTTGTGCTGCCAACAACGAGGCGGCCAGCGGCACATCCTTTGGAGCCACCTTGACGAAATTCGCGGGAGTGTTCCATCGGTAGCTCCATGGGTCGTGATTACGCGTTCGTCGTTATTGAGCTTCAAGACTTTCAAAACGATGTTCAAATCGCACACAGAAGCTTGAGTCGGTGAGAGTGCTAGCAGGCTGGCAGGATTGTGCTGCCCAGCAGGGATGGGCGATCTATGCAGCTAGGTCGGTGCAAGGGCTTGATGAACAAGCATGTCCAGGAATCGGAACAGACTCAGACGCTGAGACGTCATTGCGATGGCCAGAGCCAAGGTTTGGACATGCAGTATGTCAGGGCACAGAAGGCCTTTGTGGAGGTCATCAAGATTTGGCACGTCCTCGGCCACTTGATATGATTGGCAGCACCTTTTGCGTCCCTTGCTCGAGCCTGCTTTACTGAAAATGCAGCCACGACCGTGAAATTTGCGGATTCTTTTATCCTTGCCCCCGCCTGCTAAGTGCAGAAGGAAGGTGCTGACACAGGACCAACAAACGTGCAGAGGCCCTTCGGTCCAAGTGTGTCATCCAAGAGTCGACTCGCAGCCACCGGTTGCCAAATGTAAACGAATGACGACCCAAACAAAGAGGCTGTATTCGCGCACGTTCTTGGTAAAGCGCGTTGTGCATCCTGAATGTTTCCAAACTATGTCGAAGCTTCTTTTTTTCAAATTGTAAAATGTTCATTGAATTCTTTCTCTCTTGTGTTCCGAGGCGAGGAGGATTCACAACAAGCTGCAGATACCTTGATCGAGGAGTGGAAGAGATCCGCCAGAAGCTTCGAAGGCGGCCTGGCAATCTCGAGGGCTTACGGCCATCATCATAAGATAAAGTTACAAACGACACCCCGCGAGGACCTGGATGCCTGTGAATTCAGTCTACAATCCAGGATCAAGTTGAAGCAAGTTAGACAGGTGCTCTCACATGTCGTCGCGACGATTGCAGGTATTAAGCGTGCGCTCCACAACAAGAAAGGCCATGAGGAGTTTCTCGGCCTCTGTGTGTGTGTGTGGGCTTCGTGGGAATCGTCACTACGACAAGATAACAAGCAGGTGCTTCCTGCCAGATTCATCAATACCACCATCCTGTACCTGAACCCCCGGCATGGCATTTGCCTTCCTTGGTGCTTTGCGGTGCGATTTACTTATGAGATGGGGTCAAAATTATCGTATATAGATTTTAAAGTAGGCGGTTGTCGAAGATGGCAAATGCTAGAGGTGACCTGTAAAACGATAGGGGACCGACACTCTCAATACGGTAATGTTGCCATTGTAACGCTTGGTTCTTTGTTTCTTTCAAGAGTCAGTGAGGATGTCTGGAGTTCAGGTTTTAGTAAGGGTTGTCGGGATGGAAGTTTTGGAAATGAGACGACGTCCCGAAATTGGACAGAACGATACGCGAACGATACTCAAAATGTAGCCCCGAGTGGCCGAGATGGGCCCGTGGCCGTTCGTATACTGTGCTAGTACAATTCCTTGGACCAGAAGCCCCAAAGCCCCAAAACTGAAGACTCTAAGCAGTCGAAACATTTTTGAACTCAAGACATCCTAGAAGCTTAAACCCCAGGCCCAGACTAACTTTCCGCATCACAAAAAGCGTCGCCTGCTCTCAGAAACCAGTTCTTCATGACTACACGACGCCGCGCCCTTTCGAGATGCGAAGCAGACGAAGCTCAAAACCCAAAAGCCGAAAGGATTTCAAAAGGCCCCAAAGACGGCCACACCCTGGAATGCTGCATGTTCTTGACTGTATGTCCCTACTCTAAAGCAGTGTATCGTTTGTTCCAACATGCTTCAAGTTGCGAAAACTGTAAACCGATAGGGGACGCCGTAATCAATCTAAAACCGAAACTGGTATAACGGTATAACCAACTAATTTCGACGCCGGCTCTTATGAGTTCGGACAGCCTTAGGACTCCATCATGGTAGTTGTTGGTACATGCACAATGCACATATCAAAATGTGGCTCCCTTCTGAAACGGGCTGTTGCACTCGAGCTGTGCACGCGCTCTGTTTCCTCAACCCGACCCAGAGTATGTTGTGGGCGTTCCGCATGCCTGCTGCGGGGATGCAAGCACCAGATACGATGTGAGGAATGGTATCCGCTACCCACGAACTGTGATGCGCTCCGAACTACAAGACAGAGACTTCGCTTGAAACAGTAAATAGTTTCGAACTTCGTTCAGCTTTGCTTTGAGTAGTCGTGTTTCGGCTGAGAGGCAGACTCGAGGAATGCGGCCTTCGCAAGGAGTAGTGACTAGTGACCGTGCAGCATCCTCAGAAGCCAACGCCGTTCAGGTGATGTGTTCTCGTTGCGAAAGTTCTACACTCTGGACTGGCGGACCATGAGATCGCTCCTGATGGAAGATGCAGAGGGAGGCCAATCCCATGCCCAATCTCTGAATGCATGAACACTCGGAGCCTCCCCATGTTCAACTGCATCCTTGCAGAACAATCAAGTCAGCAAGGAAGTTCGTGTGCGTGGGTGCCGTGCTGGTACTCCCTGTGAAAGCCACTCGTAGCCACGTCCGGCGGCCAGGCCGCCAGGAAGTTCGTCGTAAACCCTGAAGCGCCAAAAGCCTTCAAGCACGAAGCTGCGCAACTCAAGCGAGCGGAGGCCATCTTGGTGCTGGGGAACAGCCTCTCGCCCTGTGATTCGATTTGGGCTAGGAGGTCAACTACTCTCGGATAGGTAGTCCTTTGGACCATTTTGATAAGCGTTGATTCCGTCACTGGGCCGCTACGTACACTAACGGTAGCGCAGATCGGGACAAAGCATGTTGCCAGCCACCCCTAACCAACAGCCTCCAGGTTCTTGCTGAACACCTCAGAGCAGGAGGATGCCATCATTGAAAAGAGGGGGCCGATGATAGTGACCTTGGGACTCTACCAGTAGGTCAACTTTTTCATTCGAGTCCCGTTGTCCCCAAGCGTGTGGCTATTGCAGCTGGTGTGCCTGAAGATTGATTCCGAGCTCCTGAGTCTTGCATAAGGATTGGGCGAAGTGGCTCCGGTAAGACGCTCTGCCACTGGTACAAGTACTGAGGGCGTTCGCTGTTGGACTTCAGACCCGGTGGGGTTTTGTTCAGGCCATGCGGTGCAAAGAAGCAGGACCGGACCATACTTTAAGTTTGGCCGAGGTTGCGCTTATCGCATGTGGTATCGGTGGGTCGACTACTGGAAGAAGTCCAACCAGGCCCAAAACCAGGTTTGGAAGCTCCGTTCACGGATCATGGCCTTCTGCTGACATCTCCAGACTTTGCAGGCTGATGGCGCTGCTCTTTTACCTTCTGGAAAGGATGGCCAGGATCGCATGGTCCACTTGAACCAGGCGAGATAGCCCTTTCTCTTCCTCCACATGAAAAGTCAGGACTTGACTTATCGTTGTGTGCACTTTCAGTGCCAGATATTGTTCTTCAATGTGCCACACGTACCCAGGTCTGTACGCATAGCTACACTACAGCAAGCATAAGTGTTTGCAGAGCTGGATATGCGAGAGATCGTCACAGGTCTTCGTGACGCACAGCACCAGTTTGGCAAACAAGGCCCGGCAACACCTGATCTTCGGATCTACACATCTACACTGAGTTCCAATCCCCCTCCCCTCCCTCTGCCTCTCCCTCTCCGCTTCTCCCTCTCCCTCTCCCTCTCCCTCTTCCCCTCCCTCCCCTTCCCCTCCCTCCCTCCCATAGAGCCCATATATCATCTTTGTGGAAGTGGCTTCAAACGTCTGGTCATTCAGAGTTTCCTTTCTACACCTGGAAGCTGCGCAAGGAATTGTAGCCTCGGCTCGGTCGGCTCTCTCTTGCTCACTGAATGAAGGTTATATACGCCCATAGGCTGAGAACGAGTGTTCCTTCTAAATATCATGTCGGCAACGAGACGAAGCGCTGCCACAAGACCCTGCCTTCATGGACTGCAGGTCCCCAGGTGTCACATACGTACCTCTGGGGAAGCTCTGATGTAGCGCCTGCTATGCAATCGCATGCACCGTACGGAGCAAAAACTGCAAAATGTATCGTATATGTTCGCCTGCATGGATGCATGTGTGGCCGCATTATGTACGTGCATGTAAACACATGGGAGAGAGAGTCTAGGGTAGTGTAGGGTGTTTGAACAATATGCGCGTGTATATACATATATGTGTGCAGTTACACAGCACACACTTGATTAGTGCTTGTGCATGTGTTGGTTGGTGCTTCATCGCCACGTACGGAGTCTACACCCACAACATCACCATATTGAGCCTGAACCCAGGGCCACAAGCTCCTGTCACGACAGATTGAAGCACTCCGCAGCTCCCTTGTTCGTGGTGGTGCTGGTGGCTTATGGTGGCTTCTCTGGGTAGGGGGACGGTGGTTCGAGGTACTAGAAGGACCGAGGATGCACCTGTGATGTTCCTTCCACAGGTGCTGGAATACTTCTCGAATTTGCAGCTCAAGAGCCAGGCCAGGCCTGCTTCATAGTTCGGTTTTGAAGATGCAGAGGGAAAGCAAATGCGAAAACCGTCAGCCTGCTCTGGAAGCTGTAGCCTGAGTTTTGTCCCCGCCTGTTCGAAGTGGACGTACGCCTGGCCGCGTTGGAGCTGGACGGCGAAGAGACGACCGCTTCGCCTGTGTGAGCTTGAACTATTAGTTTTTGTTGTTTAGGGCTGAGTACGCAAGCAGGCTTGCACGAAGATAGCCTGTGGGGGCCAAGTCTTCGTTCTCAGGGCACTTGTGCCCCAGGTTCGCTCGTTCTCGTGTTTCTGTCCTTCGGTTCCAGGGAGAATCTTGAAGACATGTATGAAATCAACAACAATAAAGTCAAGCCCAGAGTGGAAGATTGTGCTGAAAGGCAGATGCCTATCAACAACGATCGACAGCTTGCAAGCAAGAGCTTTGGTTGTCGTCTGTCTCATCTCTTGGTTTCCTGGAGGGTGCGTTGCTGCGCCCTGCTTCAGTTCAAGCCAAGCCCAGCCGGCCCATTCTGCGGGGCGAGTTCACTTAACAGGCATCAGTGGGAAATAACTGCGTGCTTTGCCTCGAGTCACTCCTGCCACAGTCAAGCTGACCCACTTTCAAAGGGAATGCCTTCTACAAGGAGAATGAACGAGACAGCTTCCTACGAAGCTGCAGGAAGATCTTACAGAGACTTGCGCCGACTAAATCCGATGCAAAAACAGTCGTGTCATATCCATCTCTAGACTCGAGTGTAATGCCGCAATCGTCCCTCTGTGTTAAGAGGGACTGGGGCCGCCAAATTCACTCTTGGCGCTGTGAGTTTAGCCACACCGCGCATATAAGCGAGTAGATGTATGTACGTATGCATGTATGCACGTAACTGTATGCAACCCTATGCATGTATGCATGCGTCTATGTGTTGTTGTATCCATGCGTGTATGCTTGCATGTATGTCCGTATGTATGTCTGTGTATTTGTTTTAAGTGTATTGTGTGTCAGCAGTGTATATGATTCTACGCATGTACGTATGTATGCATGCTTGTGCATACATGTCTAATACATGCACACACACACACAGAGAGACACACATATGTATTTGAGTGTTCGTGCTATCATAATCTATCCTACATACATACTTACTTACTTACTTACATATGTGCATACATACATACATACATACATACATACATACATACATACATACATACATACATCATGTATACATACACATACATACATACATACATGCATACAATACAATACAATACAATACAATACAATACAATACAATACAATACAACACAACACAATACAATACAATACAATACAATCAAACGTACGCACATACATACATACATACATACATACATACATACATACATGTATAGGTACACTAATACACCCACACATACATTCACATTTCACATTTTCACATTTCAGTCGGCAAGCGCTT